ATATATATATATTTATAGGCCTGTGAATTGGCGAGAAAATAAAAATAAGCAATTCAAATATCCAACCTTTTCAAGCATTTTCTTGTTTCGTCACTTACTGTAGGCCTATTATATTATGAGTATATTTCCCTCACGATTAAGATCGTAACGGTATGAAAATTATGAAAAGTGTAGGCTGTGGCACCGAGACCTCTAATGATTAGTCAGTGGCGTATCTAGGGGGTCGCGCCCACCAGCCCCCCTCCCCCAAAAAATCACGGTCAAGTAGTTAAAAATCATCTACAATTACCTTATTTTGTGAGTTAGCGCTGATCATCGATCCCAACCCCCACACTTCACCTTTGCGCCCCACCCCCATGAGTAATGCAATAATAATGGCTTATTGACTATTATTGTATATTTTCGGAAAATATTTCAGCCGCTCCAAATCTCTTCCTTCTTCCTTTATTCTTTCACATTTTGCGTTATTTTTTATCCATATTTTTTATTCATAATTTTATATAGGCCTACTACACACACTAGGCTTAGGCCTAGGCTATACCTATTACTATATTATTCAAATATACAATTTTTTAATAGATAAGATTAATTTAACACGGACTTAATTCATATACTTAAACAATGCATTAAATTAAATTATATATATGTCAAGGAATACATAACAATAATTAAAAAGGGGACATAGTGTCACTACTACAATAATAAGATTAACATTTTTCAATCTTATAATCAATTCTATATAGCTATGTATTGACTTACGCTACTGGCTAACGACAGGTACGATTTCTCCATTAAAAAGGCTTTTTCAATGAATGGAATGACCTGTACGAAGCACGAGCTCCTGTAGATCAACCCAGATTTTAATCGTGCGGGAAATATACTCATGATTCAAATGTCTACACCTTTTCAAGTATTTCCTTGTCTTGTCACTTACGGTACTGTATAATTTGCTTAGGGTATTGTTTTTAAAATTAATATCCATGTACCAACAAAAGTTCATGTCAATTTGTGTTACTCTTAACATTTCATTGATTCTTACGCATGCCTCACTAAAAATAAACTTCATAGGCCTACCTCTTTTGTGAAATAACAGTAGATTGAGAGAACCAGTCCTTGTAAAGCAAACATGACATAGAATAGTACTTGCACTACATAGCATATGTGACTAGTCATACCAAATACCCATATTACTCCGAGATAAGGAATCAAAAACACTGATTCAACAACGCATCTCCTGAAAATTATTAATCAGAACAAAATAACAATACAATATTTAACGTTATGGGAATCATCTTAATCACATCGTATTCATTCTTTTACATTAATATTTAACAATTCAAATTCTACACACACAATGTATAAAAATCATGTTTTGCTAGCTATTATAAATAACAAATTAACATGAATTTTTATGCCTATAGAAATCATGAGGACTAGTCGAAGTTTACATTCTATACTGCCTCAACATCATTGTATTCTAATTTTCTTTCATATGGAATTATAGAATTGTATACATAATCAAACATGTGGTAGTAGGCCATATATATATATATATATATATAT